GAATTCAGATGCTCCTGTTGTTATATGGTGCAATGGAAGAGTCCTGTGAACAGTAGTGGTGATGATTCATGGCATTAATGAACCTTGTCATAGCCTTGTTTCTTTGAAACCTCGAGCTAATCACCCTATCTGAAATCAAATATAACACAGAGAAAAGTCATCAAAACTTTCGGCAGCATCTTGGGGTTCTGCATGTAAATATCCCAGTGTTTTTCACAGGAGTGAATAGTCAAGGGGTCAAACTATCTCAACCCAAACCCTTAAACTTCAAACTAAATTTAAATTAAAAAGTTTCAAAACAATAGAGTTGTCATCTACCCTTCACCCAGCTTCTGTTAATATTAGGATCTTGTATAACCACGGTACAATGGTCATAAATGGGAAATAATATTGGTAGAGTATTATTAAACTAATGATCTTGCTGGATGTAGCGTGGCCCGTCTTTAATCTCAGCATTCATGGGAGGCAGAGGCAGATGAATCTCTGTGAAGTTGAGGCCAGCTTAGTCTACATAGCTGGGAATACAGGGAGACCCTGTCTCACCAAACCAAACCAAACCCCTCACACTCCCAGTTTGCCCCCAAAATTAATAACATTATTTAAATTCCACTTATTTAAATTCCATGGATGCCCCCTTCTAGTCCAGGATCCTATCTGTGGTCCAACCAAGATCCCATGTTACATTTAGCCTTTGTTTTACTTTAGCCTCCTGTATCCTAAAACAGTTGCGTACTCTTTCCTAATCTTACATGATTTGGACACTATATCAGTTACTTTTCTTTTTGATGCAACAAAATACCTGACAAAAGCAACCTTTTTTTATTTTGGGTTATTTTATTTGAGTTTGAGGGTACCATTCATCATGGCAGGAAACTTAGGGTGGCTGGAGCTGCAGGCAGGTGGCCATATTCCATCAACAGTTAAGCGGCAGAGAGAGATGAATGAAAGGGTTCAGCTCCTTTTCTTTTACTTGGTTTAGGACTCCAGTCCATGGAATGGTACTGCCCACATACAGGGTTGGTTTTCCCATCCCAATTAACCTAATCTAGACAATCCCTCACAGACACGCCCAGAGGCTGGACTCCTCAGTGACTCTAGATTCCATCAGATTGACAATCAACATTAACCATCACAGGTTATTTGTTGGATGTCTCCCATTTGGATCTGTGTTGTGCTTTCTTATGATCAAATTGAATTTTTGGCAAAAATACCAGTACATCCTGCCCCTCTTACTTGCCAGTAGCACACGTTTCACGATGTGAATATTGACATGTATGACTGGGGACGCTGAACTTGGTCACTTAGCTGTTCTTCCTGGTTTTTCTATTATGAAGTTAGTATCTTCTCCTTTGTAGTTTATAAATATTTAGGGGGAGATACTTAGAGATTATGAAAATTCTGTCCTTCCTCAAAGTTTCAGTCACTAATTTTAGCATTTAGTGGTGCGGTGGTTATGACAGTTGTTTGTCTTATGGTAATTTCCCATTTCTGTCTTTCTATATTTATTAAGAGGAATTATATTATAAGAAAAAGCTTCCTTTTTCCCACCATTTATTGGTTTATTTTGTTATTTATAATGCCATGAACTCATGAATGAATTTTATTTCTTGGTCATGATCCACTATCATTGCTTATTTTGTTTCTCGGTTTTTCCCAATCCTAACAAGTCACAACTTGCTGTTTGGTTTATTCCGATTCTGCTTGCTCATTTCTTTTCCTGAATGTCATATTTGAAAAGGGCTCAGAAATTTAACAGGTTTCATCTTCTATGATTAAACAGGACTGAGGTTCATCTCTGTGTGAACAGAGGAGAGAACTCACTTCTCTCTCTGCTGTTATTTCCATGTTGAAACTGATGTTGCTCAGAGATGCTCTTTTTGAAACAGGTTGTGGTGGTTTGAATAAGAATGTCCCCCGTAGGCTCCAAGTATTTGGACATTTTGTCCCCGTTTGGTGGCACTGTTCTGGGAGGTTGTAGGAGGTGTGGCCTTGCTGGAGGAAGCATGTCTCTGGGGGAGGGCTTTGAGAGTTTTTAAGCCTTGCCAGATTTCTAGGTGTGCTCTGCTTCCTGTGCCTACTTGAAGATGTGAATGCTGGGCTTTCTGCTCTGGCCACCTCTGCCACCATGCCTCCCCCGCCATTATGGACTCTAATCCCTCTGGAATCTGGAATCGTAAGTCAAACTCCTCCTTCTATATGTTGCCCTGATCATGGTGTTTTATCACAGCAATAGAAAAATACCTAATACACAGGTTATACTTCTTTGAAGATTTATTTGTTCTTGTTCTATTTCTCATGGAGACAAAAGAAATTTGGGAGAATGGATCATGGCACATTGACATTTAAATACACCCAGAATCAACCCTGTACTGACCATGGCCCCTGGGCCTGCTTTTTCCTGGGTTCACGTTGCTTCATACAATCCTGTTTCAGGATGTTTTCCTCAGTAGCAGTCTCTAGTGAGTCTTTACATTCACCTATTTGTTGAGTAAGAGCTTTTGAGCATTGATTCTGGTAGTACCTGATTCAGATTTCTTGGTCTTGTACCCATATACACATGAGTGGTGGAAACATGAGATAAAGGCATGGCTTGTCCTGTAAGGCTGGCTTGACATCCTAGAGGTGCAGTCTGGAGAACTGTCACTAACAGTTCTCCACCAATGATTCTAACTACTTCTCCATCACCGGTGGCCTAGTAGGGAAAAATACCAATCATAACATCCTAAAAATGAAAGATATTGGCGCTCTCCCCAAACTAGAAAGTAATAAATGAGCACTCAAATGGACAGTGTGGCAGCAGTTATATAAAATAAAAGAACTGGCATTCATGCAAGAACATTCATTCAAGGCCAAAAGGAGGTAACTCCTAAGATGCTCTGATCTCTGGGAGTATTTTCTAAACCCAAAATTCTAGCATTTACATGTGTGAGGATACAGAGCTGAGTAACACTGCCAAAGGCTGTATGGTGTCCAAGACTTCTTAGGTTACTGAACTGGAGTCTCAAAGAAACTCCAGCTATCTGGTAATCTTAGACTACAAATGTCAATGTTTATAATGCTTAGTAGCTCAGTTAGTAGGCTACTAGAAAGTACCATCGGTGGTAAGTAAAAGAGGGAGTCAATAGCCCTGCTTTGGACTTTAGGCATGAATTTGTAGCCTCACTTAGAGGACCCTTTCCATCTTTTGCTTTATACCATTAAGTGAGACAAATGGATGGTTAGAAGGGAAGAAGAAAAGAGACTGAAACAAAAGACGACTCTCCAGGGGCTGGAGAGATGGCTCAGTGGTTAAGAGCCTGAGCTGGTCTTCCAGAGGACCAGAGTTTGATTCTTAGCACCCACATGATAGCTGACAACCGCCTGTAACTCCAGCTCCGGGGGATCTCATGTCTTCTTCAGGCCTCCATGGCTATCTGCATGCACTTGAGCCCTTCCCTGTCCTATAAATAAAAATTAAAACAATAAAATTTTTAAAGAGAAGAATAATCGGGACTGGAGCAATGGCTCAGCAGTTAAGAGCACTGGCTGTTCTTGCAGAAGACCTGGTTTCAAATCCCAGCATCCACATGGTGGGTAACAGCTGGCTGTAACTCCAGTTTCAGGGGATCTGACACCATTCTCTGACCTCTATGGGCATTGCATGACATGGGTTCACTTATATACATGCAGGCAATATGCTCATACACATAAAATTAAAATAATAAAAAAAAGAAAAGAATAATCTCCATGAAGCTCACTGTGAATAATTCCTTAAGGACTTGCTACATAATTACATCTGTTCTCTCCTGAAATCTCACACAATTTGGCAAGGGAGGCAACATTTTCTTCATTTTATTTACTTACTTATTTATTTGATCTTTTTGAGACGGGGTCTCCCTGTAGTTACAGCTGGCCTGGAACTCACTATGGAGACCAGGCTGGCCTTGAACTCACAGAGATCCACTGGCCTCTGCCTCCCAAGTGCGGGGGATTAAAGGATTGTACCACCACACCCGGCATTCTCTTCATTTTATAGATGTCAGAATGAGAGTCCCAGAAGCAGGCTGCTTTGCTCAAGACTTACAGGCTAGAAAGCAAGTGATGCAGGATTCACCCCTGTGCTGCCTGGCATTACAGCTTAAGTAGTTTCCCACTGTACTGCGCTGGATCAGGTGGGAGACCTGTGACTTTGCCCTGGTCCCGAAGATCCCAGCTGAATGAACAGTTGGCCACCTCCTTGGGTCATTCCTGCCTGGAAATAAAGTCCCTGAGACAGCTGTCTGCCTGATAGTGCCAACTCTTCCCTTATGACTTTGTTTTAAACCTTGGTATCTCCTTTATTGGATTTAAGAAATGTTTTAGTATATTATCAAAAATTTCAAACAGTATTGGAGCTTCAAAAAGAAGAGAAGAAAATTCTCCTTTACTACTGTTTCCTGATCCCAACTGAATACAACTACTATTAGCTGATGAACTTTTTTTCAAGAGTTTTTCAGTATGCAGTATGTGTGTGTGTGTGTGTGTGTGTGTGTGTGTGTGTGAAGGTTTTCTGACTTTTTCTCTGTGTTGTTCTTCTAAATGATGGTATATTCTAGAATACAGTTTGGAAAAGGATAAGATAAGACATACCTTTAAGTTAATTTGCATAGTACCTCATTAAATAAACACCTATTCTTGATGGATTTCTGGGAGTCTGCACTGGGGAAAGGGATGTTCACTGGCAGATAGATCCCTTTAGAGAGAGCCCAGATTGCCAGAATGGAAGGGCACGTGAGCTATGTGGAAAGCATGCTACGGTAAACACATAAACAACTGGCCTGACCTACCAGGGTGTACACACAGTCCCCAGGCCAGGGAATCACTCATGTGCAAATTATCTGGTGGCTGAGGGGAGGGGAGAACACAGGAGATGGGAAGCAGGAGGTGGAATGTGGGCTGGGCAAGTTTAGTATTACAAGTGTCATAGGGCAGTCTCTAACCACACTTTAAATAGCCAGCACCTTCCCTGGCCCCCTAGATGTTTCCCCGAAAGGATCTCTGGCAACAACTTCACTAAGGTTCGGAATGTTTCACTCTCTCTCCCTCTCCCTCTCCCTCTCTCTCTCTCTCTCTCTCTCTCTCTCTCTCTTTCTGGGTCTCAGAATGTGGATTGGTGGGCTCCATGGGACTTACAACTCCCCTAGCCAGTGCTGACTTTTGGGTATGCATATGCAAACACTGCTGTTTGCTTGACTTTCTGAAAGGGGCCGCTGATGACTTAGGGGGCAATGTGACTTGGAGGTAGAGAATGCTGATTTGAGAAGAAAATCATTTGTGTTTAAGTTCAATAAAAATGAAAGTTTTCTACTCTGTGAAATGTGATAACTATCAATTCTTTCCCAGGATTGAAAGAAAATAAAAAATCGAGGGACTTTTGTTCTTTTTTAAATATTTTATTATTTTTGTTTTATGTGTATGAGTGTATTGCCTGCATGTATGTGAGTGCACCCGTGTCGTGCAATGCCATCGAGGTCAGAAGAGAGCTTCGGATTCCCCTGGAACTGGAGTTAAGGATGGTTCATAGCACCCAGCAGCCATGTGGGTGCTGGGAATCGAACCTGGGTCCTCTGCAAGAACAGTCAGTGCTCTTAACTGCTGAGCCATCTCTCCAGCCCCTAGGGACTTTTATTCTAAGTGAAGCTGTAACTATCTTTTGATGTTGCAGATGAATATATCCCATCATTTCCACTTTTATATATGAGCAAACTAAGGCTGTGTTATTCATTAACCTGTCCAGAGTCAGGCAGTGACACTAGAAACAGTTAAGGTCTGAACCAGGCTTGCTTGGGTCTGTGGCCCATACCCTTTCAACTTCAGTGTGCTCCCCCTGAGAAGCTACTCTTCTGAGGCAGATGGACAGGACTGCTGCTTCTCCACTGGCAGGAAGAAGAAGCAAAGAGAGATGATTTTGCCTCATTGGAAGACATCTGTGAGATGCTTATAGGAGGCCCAGATTCAGCATGAGGCTTGAGAAGATGGTCTCAAAGGGCTGGGGAACCTCTTGCCCACATTTCCCAATCTTGTCAAATAAGCAAAGGTGCCCTCTGTTCCCTGACTTTCCAGATCCCTTGGGTAGTCCAGATAGGGAACCAGAGCCTAAGAAAAGCCTGTGGTTGGAAGGGATTCTTGCTGAGAAAGTTCCATTAACTTGAACTTTGGGGTTTGGAAAAAGCTCACCTGCCTACTTTTCCAGAAAGGGACACCCTAAGCCAGGCATGTTGCCTCATGAATGTAATCTGAGCACTCAAGAAACTGAGGCAGGAGGATCACTTCAGGTTTGAGGCCAGCTTGGGCTACGTACTGAGCCCCAGTGTAGCCTGGACTACAGAGTGAGACCTTGTCTCAAAATAAATA